TAAGGGGTGTGTCAAATGTAACTTAGGCCGTTACTGTGGACTATACTGGATTGTGCCTTAGAGGGTACAACACCCTAGTCTATATACCCTTGTACTCACTCATTCTAGTTCACTTATTCATTTTGACAGGCAGGGCTTCAGCAGCGGAGCCCGGGAGCGTGCCGCCCTGTGTGGTGCGCTGGCTGCATGCAGGCGTGCAGGCCAGCGCTAAGAAGAGGCACTGGCCGCTGCCGTCCGTGCCATCCGCGCGCTGTCGCGTAGACGCCGTGGCAGTACGACGGCGCCGTCATGCTGCCACAGTTTGACGCCGGCGCCGACACCGCCACGGCTTAACGTCAACGTCATGGCAGCGCATCGTGACGGCCGCGGCAGCACGACGCGGCCACACCAGCACGAGGCGGCTGCCATGGTAGCGAGAGAGAGAGAGAGAGAGAGAGAGAAGAGAGAGAGAGAGGAGAGAGAGAGAGAGAGAGAGAGAGAGAGAGAGAGAGAGAGTGTGTAGAAGGGGGTGGCGGAAGCGTGAGGAGCAGGCCCACAAGTAATGAATAGCTCTGATTCCATGTTAGAAGGCTAACTTAGTTAGGAAGGAAGCGACCATGAAATGGCGAGAGGTTTAGGAGCTAGGAGAGGAAGTTGACGAGAGAAAAGAGAGTTGGAATAGAAGAGAGAGAGGCATAGAAAGAGGGAGTTGTACCCTCTACAGTAGAGTTCAGTAACACCTACCAAGCCTACAATTATATAACAAATATAATTTAACAAACAGTGTGCGCCCGCAGGCTCGGTCCTTGGTTATATTGCCAAACCAGCCCCCCTCGACCTTTTCGGCCCCAGCCTGATCCCGAGACGCCTTGAACCCGTTTTGACCCCATCACCCTCGGACCACCGAGCCCTTGACTGGTCCAACCCTCGACATTCAACCTGGTCAACCTGCAATATATAAGCCCTAGGCCTCATTTCTATCGATATTCAGTATCATTCGGTAATCACGTTCCCCTATACTATTCTGCGCTATACTCTGAGTTATAATTCATAACAGCTGGTATCAGAGCTACGTTCCTGCCCATTAGGCTTCCAGTAGGGGAGCAAACCCTATCGGGGAAGGGGGCGGAAGGATGCTGATGGCGAGCGGACGTCGCGGAAATTAATTGCGCGGGCGTTGTCGATGCCGTCAGATCTTGTCCGATGGACGGCTGGGATTGGCCGGTCCTCCCCTTCCTTGGGCGTAGATGGAATTATTTCCCGTCGAAGAGTGGACGACGTTTTCACCGTGTTTTTTCGGGTATGTCCGTTAGAGCTTTCGTAATTTTCGAGTTTTCGGATGGAGTCTTCGGATTGGCTTCCGAAAGAAGCGAAGGCTTCGTCATGAGGAGACAAGTGCACGGGAGTCCAATGGCGGCCGGGACTTGGTCGTCAGGAGCGCACGGGGTGACGAAAATGGCGGGATGTACGGCGATGTACGTCTGGTGCACCATGAAGCTGCAGGCTGAACTGTAGCTGTGTCGCGGGTCCCGGCGCTTCCGGCAGGCTAGTTGTAAGCGATGGACGGGACTTCCACACTATTTCGGCAATGGGCAAATCCGACAGTTTCGGAACGACACGATCGCACGAGAACGTGTGGGTGTGCAGTTGTGTGGGAGCTGCTAGGATTAACGACCTCAGCGCTATACACCACGACGACCATCTGGAAGTGATGACGCTGTGCTGGAGTGAGTGTACTCAGCGAGGGCGACTTCCCGCGTGGGGAGGTGTTTTTCGTGGACGAGCGATTCATACCCCCACGATCAACGGAAACGGAGGCCACCACCACGGGATGTGTTAAGTGTTTTTCCACCGGTCGCCGAATGCGTTAACTGTTAGGAGTTGAAGCAGTGGGAGAAGAACGACGAGAGTACTGGAGCAGATGGGTTAGCGACATTCGGGCTGCTACTCGCTCAGCTACGTCGCCCGGAAATCACCATTCCCACGAGGTATCAGTGTCGACGTATTAATCGATGACTTTTGGCTGAATAAGGGGGGTGAACCTGCGAACTACGCTGTGCTGAGAGAGTGTCCCCGAAAATTTAGGAGTTACTGTTGCAGTGGAGCTGAGATTTTTTTACCTGGTGCAGCAGAAGAAGGTTCCGACTTTTGCAGGTGTAGTTGGACGATTTTCCGACGGAGGAGGGAGCTATCGAGCGGTCAGTAGGCGAGCTCGTTAAAGCTCCTCTGACTAGAAGCGTGCACACTCCTATCTCTGCGGATTCTCCTAGTTAGTTAAGCAGCAGCGAAGCGGTTATGGGTAACCTGCAGCAGCCGCGAGATGGGTGAACGTCTGCACGGCCAGTAGGTTAGGGGTATCGGAGTATTTTGGTGTTGGGTAACAGCTGGGCGGAAATCGACGGCGTATGATGTGCATTGACCCTGATCGACAGCCAAAACTTCATGCCGAGGCGGTGGACTATTGGTAAACCCTAATATTTATAGTTCAGTTCATGCATACAGTTGGTGGAGAAAACCGTGGAGGTGCTGCTAAAGGATGACGTGACGCCTTGGCATTTTTACGGTTAGTTGTGAAGCGACGTTATGGTATTTGCTAAGTACCGAGTGGTTTCGACATTTCGGTGGGTTTTGAGGAGCAGTTCAAGAGTTTACAACTGGAGTTGTGCCTGCTAATCTTCCAGGGTACGAGCGATATCGACCGATATTCTCTGAATATTTTGGGTGCATAGAGGAGGAGAAGCCAGCAGCAGTTTCGCTCTTCCCTAAATTTCGGTGTGTACGGACAAAGCAGCTGATGCAGCTGGCGTCATTCGATCCCGGGTTCTGTTCGAGGATATCAACTGGAGTGATCAATACATGTTATAGGCCATCGCCATTGTCGTCTTCCTCTCGCCATCACCCCCCGCTACCGCCCATCGTCAATTCGCAATGAGTTGCCCGACAGTGTGAACACGACCCGGCCGCAACAGTGCCATCCATCAGGAGCAGTAACAGATTTACAAGAAATTGGCAGTAGTACTGTTGGAGCTGTGTTGGGGCCAGCTCGCAAGCAGAGTTTGACTTCTGAAAAAAAATTGAGTTCGTGTGAGATTCTACTACTGGAGTTGCGGAATTTCCGTCCTTCGACGCGGTTTACCCTGACGACAATTTCCTTGGAGTGGAGTTTTGCAACGACATATTGGAAGCTGAGTAGTATCATAACTTTCGGCAACGCCTACCGTGATACGGATTTTGGCGCCTCCTGATTCGCGTTTTTAGTGGCTGGGATATATTTCAACGTCATCTTGGAAGCTGAGTTCTGGGCTTTTCATCAGCAGCGTGAGATTATTTCGACGCCCCTGAAGCGTTGGGTTTTCTGGAGTTTTCCTGGGAAATTGGAAGCTATTTTCCTCTTGGAGGGGGAGAAGTGCTGCTGTGCTGCAATTTCCGACGACCTTTCCGGCGTGTTCCATTAACCATTACGAGCCGACATTCGTGACCGTTACGCTTCCGCACGCTGATTTCGTCGCTTCGTTGATGGAGTTCGCTGACATTCGTGGGACACAGACGCGTGCTCTCGCATGTGACACGAACGACCTCGCGTTTGATGAACGTGTTCTTTATTTCATCGACCATCACGTTATTCGCCCGTCATGATTTCAAGATATTCATCTGCTACGCCCATCATCAATCGACCACTCAACAGTTTCATATTCATTGTCTTCCGCTAGAGTTTTACCCTTGCCCGTTTGGTCACCAGAAGATCGACTATCTTCGACGATTGAGATTAAAAGCGATCGTTTCGACGCTTTCTTACCATCGATTTCAGTTCGACCTCAAAACCTCATCAAGCCGGCGTAATCATTACACTCGTCACATGGCTGAAGACTTACAGTCACTTCGGGGATTAACTTAGATAAAAGGTTCGGCCTCGATAAAGGGAGTGCCTTCCTTTAGAAGGTGGGAGATTATAAGGAATTACGATTCCTTACTGGGGCTCGCCACAGCGAGTACACGCGAACAGTGCGCGTCCGCAGGCTCGGTCCTTGGTTATCACGCCAAACCAGCCCCCGTCTACCTTTTCGGCCCCAACCTGATCCCGAGTCGCCCCAAACCCGTTTTGACCCCGTCACCCTCGGACCACCGAGCCCTTGACTAGTCCAACCCTCGACATTCAACCTGGTCAACTCGCACTATACAAGCCCTAGGCCTCATTTCTATCGATATTCAGTATCATTCTGTAATCACGTTCCCCTTATAGTATTCTGCGCTATACTAGTTATAATTCATAGGCTATAACAACTTTCCCTGCCCGTGCCCCATGCTCACTTCTTGTGCCCCCTTTTTCATTCTCCTTTATTGTCACATCCTGGCGTGTGGCAGAATGGAAGGGTGAACGGATATTTTTTGGGCATCCGCAGCAGCATAGTTCCAAAAAGCCACTGACAGGAAAATTCTCCGTGCATCGACACAACACGTCTGCTTCTGGAGCGCACAAAAAGGCGACTCGCTCCGCTAGCCCTGATTCAGCAAGCGGCTCGAAGGCTGTCACGGCTGCACAGGCGGAAACCCCATCAGTCCATTCCGCCTGAAAGAATGACCCCGCGCACACTCCCTTCCCCGAGTTCCGCCACTCACACTCGCTTCTACGCTGACGAGTGCGAAAACTCGTGCAAATTTCCAACCCCAGGTCCCCCGCTTTCCGCATGAGGCATCCCTTGACCGCCCGCAAACGATCACTTTGGACGCACGCGGCTCGACCTTTTGATGCGCGCACGGCTCAATTTCCCCAATTTCTCCGCTTCCGCAGCTCCGTCTGCCAGCATTCACCCCGCCGCGAGCATGTCACCTCCGCTACTTTCGTAGTGATCTGTCACCGCTCCTGTGATCCGTCACCTGTGACCCTGTGAGCGCAGTCTGGTGGTCCTGTGGGGGAAAATCGCTTCGCCCCGCGACGGACCCCCCCCCCCCCCCCTCAACCCCCCTCCCCCAGAGCTTTCTTCTTGCTGCTGGGTCTGCTGCTGGTCTGATGTTATTGCCGTGGCTAGTTTGCTTACTCCGCCATTTTCCGACAATACCAGATCACCTCACTCTACCGCTCCTGTGCTCGCTTTCGTTCTGCCTCTCAGCCAGCTTCACGGACCTCTCAAATCAAGTCAAGCCAACTCAACCCATCGACCCAATTTCTTGCTGCTCCAAGCTGCGTGAATCTCCTCGCTTGTGTGTTCGCAAATAGTCCCATATCGGCGCGTTTCTGAGAGACACGTACTCTGCTTGATTCTTACCGAGACGCCAAGAGCGGCCGCCATGTTTAAGCTCGTGTCGAAGCAATCGCCGAAGAAGTACATTGAGCAGGCGCGAACGCTGCGCGTGGATTCGACAGTAGCGTCCAGCATCAGCGATGCCATGCTGTATGTATCGAACTCCTACTCCTAACCTTGCTTCTAAGCCTCTCCCAGCCCTTACCCGCCGTTTCCCAATCTAGCCTCCTGTCTTCTCGCTGGCCTTCCCTGGCGAGCACATCATAGCTCGTCGATCGCACCGTCTATATATATCCTCTTCGGAAGGCCTGATTTTCGTTACACGATTCGGCTCACTGCCGGATCCTCTGACACGCTACCGCGGCCTGTGCGTAGCCTATCGTTTTGTTTATTTGCGAGAGAATCGTCGCCATTCGCTCATTCCGATTCGGTTTGCCTTAATGGCCGCTCCTCGGCTCGCCCACTCACGTCAATTTCCCTGCTGAATTCAGCTTTCCACTTCCAACCCTCTCCTTGCTCCTCGCCTTCTTCCCCGTACAACCCTCTCTCCCCCCTCCCCGCCCCCACCGCCAGTGAATCGGGAGACTCTTTTTCCATCGTGGCAGCACGTGGCATCAGCACCGTGTATGCCGGGGATCTTTCCGGCGAGGGGCTTCTGGGCTCGCAGGTGAGTTTGGGCGCGAAGCGTCGCAAAACAGAGGGAGGATGTGGAGGAGGGTCACATTAGAGTAGATAGGGAAACGGGTAAGGAAAGACATGGTTCAGTTCGTGCGTGGCCTTCTTTTAGAGTTTTGAAAATGACTCCAATCAAGCTTGAGTTACTCGTGCGTCCGTGGCTTTCTTGGAATTCGTAGGCGTTTCCATGACGAATTCAGTTCTCATCTTCTCGCATTCGAAAAAATGTCCTCGTCCAAGGAAGGCGGAGGAGCTGTCGAGCACACGTAACTGTTCTTCCCTTTCCCTTTTCGATCTTCCTTCCTCGTCCCGTTTCAGGGTGCTGCGTTTCTGACCCTGGAGTACAAGAGCACGTCGCACACGGCGTATGTTAAGGTACGAGATACTGCCGCGCGCGGCGTACACACAGTGAACCAGAACTAGGGTTCTCGTTTCCGAATTGGTTGTCCAAATGCCGGGAATTCAAGTTGACGCACTACCATCTCCTAATTGGTATCTTGGAAGGGCAAAGCAACGTCCGGGAGCTCGTCTGAGACAACTAGAGGCCCCCCTTCCTCGGTGTAATCCACTCGTCTGAAACTGCATTCGACATCCCACCGGCCTTGCTCCTTCTGTGCATCGCGTATATCTCTCTGATTCACCCTCCTCTCTGCTCTGCTGCGCCCGCCCGTTTCCCCTTTCTGTATCTTGTGTCCATCAGAATGGCGCTACTGGCGAGTTAATTATGATGCTTGTGCGGGAGGCGCGGGATAACTCGTGGCACGAAGAGGGAAAGTCGTACGCGCGCTTCGGCAATGCCACGGAGGCGCGTCTGTGGTCCAACGGGCGGCCTGTGGGAGTCAACTATTCTGAGTCGCTTATGGATGTGGCACCTCGGGTAAGACAGGCTAAAGACGCACACACCATTGATATGTATGCACGTGGCTTTTATCTGACAACCCATCCCCCTCTATATATTTAATCTACCTGCTGCCAGCTTCGCGGATGCAAACCCATCCACCCACCCCCAGATCTCTCATGCCAAGGGGCGTCAACGCACAGATCCTCATCCTCGCTTGCCTGAATTACCTCGCGTGTCCCGCTTTTTCCGCTCTTTCAGTCGTTCAGCCAGGAGAAGGCGCAGATGGGGGCGTCCATGATCGAGGTGATAAAGGAGAAAGTGGGCAACTCGATCCGCCTGTTCAAGCAGAAGGGCGACGGGTCGCGAGCATGGAGATTGCTGCTTACACCAAGGTGAAGAATGGCCCTGCTGTGTTCCGCCTGGTGTCTAAGGACGTGCTGGATCCGGTTGTAGCTGTTGCCATGTCTTGGTTTACCGCGATCGACAACAAATAGTACCCGTACTTAGTGCTGCAAGGAATAATGATAGCGTTGCCCATTCCGTAGTGTGTTCAGTTCACTCTTCCCTTACAATTTCCTCGCTGCTTATGCTCATGTTGCTGATAAACGTGATGGAAACGGTAAGAATGAAAAAACGGGACACAATACTGTAGTATAAGTTACTTCAGCACACAATGCATTGAATGCCAGCAGATGAAGGTAGGTTGTTGTCAGAAGCATAGCTGAAGGTCATTACTGCCAGAACTTCACAAAGTACTCTCCTAAGTTCCTGGATCCAGCTTGAACAAGTCTTCCAGTAACTGGTCATTCAGTAGCGAGGGATTCGCCAGAGCAGAGTTATGTCACACAGCGATGCAAGCTTGCGCTCTCTTACGTCACGCTTGTCAGCTTTACAGAATCAGTACTCCATAGGACACCACAGCTGCACGTCTTCAGTGCACTTGAGGCATGCCATCTCCTCCTGCTCTGTGGCACTTCCACTAGGACGCCCTGATCTCCATCTTCCACCACAGCAGCTGCTTCTGATGCAGAGCCAGGATTCACAGACCCACTCATTCCATTGCCTCTCCCCATAGTCTCTCCTTCCACAATCACTGGCATCCCTTGTGCTGTCCACCCAGCAATCTCCACTGCAGGACCTTCCATTTCGGCTCCTTTCGTCTCTGGCTCAAAGGCAGCGCCGTCTTGTCCAGCTTCAGGCAACTTGACCGGATGCAGTGTACCATCAGTGCTCACCGCTGCCGAGTTAGCAAACTGCTGTGGCTCCAGCTCTGCAGCCTCCTCCTCGTCAACATCTTGCTCGCCATTGTCATCATTAGCCAATGTGATTGCACCTTCAAGCCCTGCCTGATCCAAGCCATGGTCAATGTGGTCAAAGAAACCGCTTGCCCCAATGTCATTGTCAGGCAGCCATTCCAGTACTTCTAGCTCCTGCAGCTCCAGTTCTTGCACTGTAGCCAGACCAGCATCGGTCCAGGTAGCCCCATCCATGTCATCAACCGGAGAAGCCATGTAGTCTAGGCCTGTTGTAAGGTGATCATTGGTTAGAATTCCTCCATGGCCAAAAGGAAGCGCATTGGTGAAGTTTCCGGGAGGAGCCGATAGATGTTGCTCTGAGCATGGATCCGTTTCTCCTTGAAAGATGCTGCTTTGCTGAAGAAGCATCGAGCTCGTATAGTGGTCCAAGTTAGCTGTATGTGAAGCAGTAGGAGCAGTCGATGCACGTGGAAGCGGAGCAGGAGCACGTGAAACCGAAGTGGCAGAGCTGTCACACACTGACTCGGATTTCTTCATACCCACAGGGCAATCCATGTGTGAGAAGGCACGGGTGGGATGCGGAGAAGTCGAGTCACATGCAGGTGCGGCATTCACCAGCAGAGGCACTGTGTTCACAACATCCTGCAACTCTGCCTGAGGAGACCTCTGACTGGTGCTCGGATTGGGCTGACGCTGCTGCACCTGTTGCTGATGGTAGCTCGATTGCTGATGCTGCTGTTGCTGGTAGTGATAGCTGTGGCAATGATCAAGACTTGGCTGATGAGCATTCGCCGTTGCACACTGCTGGTGTTGCTGCTTCTGCTGCAGCTGCTGCAAATCCTCTGTTGGTTGCAAGGGTCTCGAGTCTCCCTGGATCCCTGAGTTTGCATGTAGCTTATTCTGCTTCTGCTGAGCCTCCTGTTGAAGTTTAGACTGCTGCTGCTGCGGCTCAGATGACTGGAGACGCATGGGTTGCTGCTGCTGGTCAGTTCCATGTGTATCAGTGACCTGTTGAAGGGATCGTGACGACGGCAGCAGCCGAGGCTGTAAATTGTTGAGAAGCCCTCCTGTAAGAGGTCGAGATCCCATCGGAGAGGCCTTTCCAGAAGAAGGCGGACCCTGCATTGGCTTCCGCGTGACCCCATAGCATCAGCCGAAAATGCTAATGCCACTGTAGAGCTGCAACCACTCCGGATCTGCATCGTCTGCCCGACCTGCAGCTCCAGTGCGATGTAACCCTGAGGCTGGTTACCAGCCGGACTTGCGCATCCCACAGGTTGGCTTCCAGAGTGAAGCGTGGTCCTCCTTGGCGTGAGATCGTGAGAAGCCGCGGACATGGCGTTGGCCTTTTGCTTCGCTATATCGGACAGCCGGTCCACCCATCCAAGCCCATTATGCACACCAGGTCCCACGGGAGACGAACAGCAGCCTGCAGAGCTGGTTGATGGTCTAGCGCGCAGATGAGGAGAAAGCTGCGCCACAGGAATCGGGCTCTGGACAGGATGGGCTGGCGGCGGTAGGGGGAGCGCAGCAGGAGATTGAAGCTGTCGGAAAGGCGACGCCATTTGGGATGGCACATGGGTGACCATGTAGCGGAACTGCTTCGTTGCAGAGCCCATCCGCCAGGCGACGGCAGCGACTGACGTTCTCCCTGAGCAGAATATTGTGAGGCATCTGGAGGCGGAAGAGAGTCCTTGGTGAGAAATAAGCGAGGATCGCTTAGACTCCTTGTGATCACACCCTTGCTCTGCTGCATGACGGCTTTCCCTGGAGAGAGGGTAACGGAGTAACTTTGCGACTTTGTCAGCAGCGGCGAAGGCGGTAAAGGAGCAGCATTCAACGGACAATGGCTGTTTGTTGCAGTAAGAGAGGGGCTAGCACAAGCATTTATTCCCATCAAGCCAAAGATCTTCGCAGCTCTCTGGCCAACAGGCGGAATGACTGGTGAGCCGTGGAATAGCGGAATGGAAGATGGAGTCAGAGGAGGCGACGCCTTAATTCGCGGAGCCAATGGCACGTAACGCGGGGAGGAGGCAACCCCGAAGCTGCCAGATTTTCGAAGCTGATTAGGTGAGCGGGGAGATGCTGGAGGCCCCATGGGAGTCATGATACAGCATGACACGGAGCGCTGAAGCGGACTTTTGTCATGTGAGACGCAGCGAGGATACTTATCAGCAGACGGGGTCATTATCATGGTCAATGGTGATGACGGAATCGTAGGCACCACCTGGCTGTATTCCGAGGGAAAGAGGATTCTTCGCTGTAACTCCGCGGGTCCAGTTGCATTTCCGCTCCCACGATTGTGAGCTGCGTTATCCGATACAGGACTCCCCGTAGAAGCATCACGTGTGTCTGCCGCATTTGACAATCCCGCACAGAACTCGTGCTGGCTACACAGCTTCTTCGCACTTGACGGTGACGTCAACGAGGCATTGATATTGGTCGCGTAAGCATTCTGATCAAATATTCCTGATGCGGCCTGCACGATCAAATGGACAGAGGAATTAAACTGGAATCTGCATTGCATTGTAGATTGTGACGAATTCATGGCAAGAGAAATGCACTATGACGTACAGGTTGACTACTGACAGCAGCGTCCATCCCTGTCAAATGAGGAGGTTGTCCATCATTGGTTGACAAAACGAGACCAATTTGTCTGGAGGTTTCAGCCGGAACGGTCGAGCCGGACTCAATCCCTTCCGCTGATCTCTTGCGCTTTGAGATTGGACTGCAATGCAGAAAGAAATTTGAACATTAATATTTCTCCGGTACAATGTACCTCTCGGCAAAGCGAAAGAGAGAGAGGGAGTACACGGAAAAGGAACGAGCCTTTACCTTGTTGCGAAACAAGCATCAAGCTTTCCATTTCCACGTCCATCTGCGTTCGGGGATTCAGTCACAGCTGGAGAGATGGAATCCCTGGCAGTAACATTTGATGATTGAACGAAACGGTTCGTGGCTTGGAAATCTCCACATTGCCGAGCCGTGACGCTGCTCGCGAACTTGGGCACGGGGGGAGTGTGTGGAGATAACGAGCACGACGATCTGACAACCAAGGGGTGGATCGCTGGCGAAAGCGGTGGAGACTGGCTTTGAAGACGCATAGGGTTACTCTCCCGCTTGTGGAGAGCCTTTTTTGAGAGAGGCTTTGCTGAAGCGATGGTGGCAGTGGAGGGACGGATGCAGTAGGGACATGTTTAAAAGGAGGTTGCGGTGCAGGACACTGATCAGAACTGTGAGTATCGGGATGTACTGACGTCGACTTGGCTCTGGAGGAAGCCATGCTCGAGAATCTAGAAGTGGTAACCTCTGAATTTCCCTCAATGCTGGCAGCGTCAATGCACGGCAACTGAACAATTGTCACGCTGACAGAGGCCATTGCCCTGATCACGAGTAACTACCACCATTGAGAAAGGGTCCCTGTGAGGAAGTGAGCAATCCAGCCTTTCATGTCGACTTTGCACGGCAACAATGCAGGAAGGCTCATACAAAAGTTGCTGCTTTGGAATCCAGCCAGATTCTTCGTGTGAGGAGGAATGGAATATGGCAAAGTCGCCTGCCAGGAGGAGGTGCCAGTGTAGAGAACTAGCGAGTGAACCAGCAGAGCCTTCTCGACTAGACAGGGTTTTCAGGCCAGCGAAGCTCCCCGACAGCATTAGGGTGCTGGTGCCCCTGATCGCTGATCTATCGTCGCATTCAACAAACAAGGTCCGTCCGATCCTCGCCCCACAGGAGTGAAAACCGCGCACGCGGGAATACTTTAGCTCGCCCCCACATGACATGACCCACCTCTGGTTGACACTTCAAGATGGGTGGGTGCCATAGAAGCAGAACAATCCCCCCGTGATTCGCCTAATCAACCGGAGCTCAGCCGTGAAATCAGGAGGTTTCATGCTCGGATGCCAGATTGGCCCCAGCGGATGCACATGCCACAATTTTCGTCCGGTGGACAACCATATCACCAATCACAATCAAGTTTCTACTCCCCACTTCACAATAGTTGGAGGGAAGCGCATGTTTTCACTGTTGCAAATTCCTTACACTGGACACGCCCCACGGAATAACCACCTTTTCTACACTCAATTCCTCAAATGCAAGTACATGCATTATAGCTTCAGGTTGCAGGTGGATCTTCGGGAAGCCCAAAAATTTGCGGTCGGCCACGTCCTCCCAAGGAAATTGCCGAAATTCAGGGAGAAGATAAGCCTGCTGATGTGTGATCAGGAAACAGTAAAACAGCACACTTGCCTAGCATGAACAGAAACCGCACCAATGGCACAGGGAGGCGACGTGTCAGTCACAATTGGGAGAAACCCCGCTGGCACTTCTAATTGGCTAAGCACTAGGACAAAAATTTGCCTGGTTCGTCTTTGTTGGATGCCCGAATCATGGAAGTCACTTTTGAGTGGACATGACGCCGTCTGTTCACCCTTCTCGAGCCCTTCGCTCGCAGAGAACCGCGATTTTTTTTTTCGAAGGGGTACGTGAACTGTAGCAATCTGTTACATTCTAACTAATTCTCATGGTATCTCCCTAGGCCTAGTGTAAAGAATTACAATTCCTTACAGCGCTAAATTACAGCACGTACACCCGTAGACCTCGACCTCGCAGGTTTGGCCTCGATTGTTGGCCCAAACCTCACCGAGTCGCGTACCAACACAATCGTCACCCTTCCAAGCCACCTCACGTTCCGAGATTCTCGCCCTAGCACGTACGAGCCCTACTTTAGCCAGTTCGCTCGTCACTTGCTCAATCAATTACTATTCCTAGGTTGTATTTCCATTACTCAGTCGATTGTTCCATTCCCACTCATAACACTTTGTATTCAGAGCCACTTTCCTCGTGCAGTAGCATCCGCCTGCCCGAGAATTTTCCTTGGGGGGAAAGACGGGATGGCTGGTGGGCTGCAAGACTGCACAGTGTTCAGGTGAAAGAATGTCTAGAACAAGGCATACAAGGGAATATAACCTAATGGGTTGTACTCCCTAAGGAACAACCCTATATAGTCTACAAAAATATACAATATTAATTGACACACCACCTAGACTGGATAGGGGCAGTGCCCGATGAGAGAGACAGCTCAGAGTAGCACTACTAGTCCAACCTTTAAGGCAGAGGTCTAAAGACCAGTCAAGCAAGTACAGACAAGGCAAGAGCAAGACCAGGGTGGCACTACTACTCCAGCCATTGAGAAGAGACCACAAGGCTAGTTAGGGTAATATATATAAAGATCTGTACACAATCAAGGTCCTAGCAAGTGAGAGGCTACAGGAACGACACCTAGTTGTACACAGTGCCGCTGATGATCTTTAAGCGGAAGCGCCTTCGTAAAGATATCAGCTGTATTGGCACATGAGGCTAAGTGTACTACACGAGCCTGGCAACGCTGCTGCAGCTCGCGCAGGAAGAAGGACCGTAGCTGGATGTGCTTCGCTCTGCCCTCAAGTCGTGGCTCCTGACACAGGAGGATCATGGCCCTGTTATCAGCGTACAGAACCAGGGCAGAGTTAGGCCACTCACCCAAATCGGTGAGCAAGAAGGTCAGCCAGCGGAGCTCCTGTGCCGCCATGGCACCCGCGTAGATCTCAACCTCACAGCTAGACTGGGCAACACACGAGGAGCGACTCGACCTCCACGAGATGGCACCTGCACCAAGGCTAAAGGAGTAGCCCTGTCAGGACCTGCGAGTCTCGGCGTCGTCTGCCCAAGAAGCGTCTGTGTTCCCGGTAAGGACCATTGGTCTCTGTCCTCCTAGCACTAGCCCCATGCCCGATGTACTTGCTACATAACGCAAAACCCTCTTAGCTGCCAACCAGTGATGTGGTCGGTGTCTGCCTAGGGCCACAAAGCGAGCCAGGATGCTGAGAGGGTATGCAAGATCTGGATGAGTGCAAGTCATCACGTACATGAGGCAACCCACCAGCTCTGCGCAGGACCACTAGGCTCTACAGCCTCCTCAGGGACTGGGGCAGAGAGTCTGTTGTCGACTAATAGAGGGATGGGCTGTGCGCAAGAGAACTGAAGACCGAACCTCTGAAGGACCTGGTGCACCAAGTGTGACTGTGAGAGAGTGATGGTGCGCACTGCTCTGTCCCTGGAGATATGCAAGCCAAGGTAGCGGCGCAGCTCTCCTAGGTTAGTGCAGGTGTGTCTCTTCAGCAGCTCGGCCTTCACAGCGGCCAGTGCGTCTCTGTCTGCAGTAGCAAAGACCAGATCGTCTACGCAGACAAGGATATCAAACGGAGTCTGGCCAGAACGGACATAGAGCGAGGGGTCTGCAGACGAAGGGAAGAACTGCAAGTCGGCAAGTGTAGCACGCAGCGTATCGTGCCACTCACGGGGCACCAGTCGCAAGCTGTACGGGGTGCCTGAGGAGCCACTCGGTGCCAAGGGGGAAGGAACCGGAGAAGCCCTGGGGGCGGCGCAGGTAGACCTGCTCGTGTAGTCTGCCTTGGAGGAAAGTTGTGGAGAAGTCGAGGGAGTGCAGCTCGTAGTCATGCTGTGCTGCTACGTGTAGTAGTGCCCGAAGAGTGGTCATCTTCGGGGTCGGGGCGAAGGTCTGAAAGAAGTCCACCCCCTCACGCTGACTGAAGCCTTGAGCGACTTTGGACGCCTTGAAGCGCCTTGAAGACAGGCGGCTCTCTAGGAGGGCGCTTCACCTTGAAGAGCCACGGGCCATCGACTACGTTCACCCCAGGTGGGGGAATTGCGTCGACGAAGGTACCGGTGGATCTCCAAGATGCCATCTCTTGCTCCATGGCAGCTATCCACTGAGAGGCCCAGGGTCCCGAGGTGGCCTCAGCGTTGGTGCGAGGGTCGGGATGTCGAGGACGTCTGGGTCACCCTTAGGACTAGTAGCATGGAACAGCAATGGGGAGCGGCCTCAGACAGGAAGCGAGCTTGAACTGTGTGTCCTCTACAACGTCACTGCCAAGAGTAGCCACACCCTCGACAGTCGAAGGGCAGGCAGGGTCAGAGACTAGAGGTGGCGTAGTCCAGGCGGCGGGTAGCTGCGAAGTCAGTGACAGCAACGACAAGAGTCGACAGACTCGAGACAGGAACGGAGGGGTCCGTAACGAGAGAGGCAAGGACACGAGGAACAAGAGGACGCACAGTATAAAGGAAGTCCGAAAACAGAGGCGGGGCCACAGCAAGCGACGACGGAGGAGGAGACGGGAGGAGAGGAGGAGCACGAGACGCGTGAGAGCGCAACAACATAGTCTCAGAATGCGGAACATGGGAGTAGGACGAGCACGAGACGGACGACGAGACCAGACGTGAGACGGAGGAGTCGGGTCAGGAGAGAGGGGAGGAGACACAGGAGGAGAACGGGGAGGGAAACGAGCCAGAGAGGAGTCCGAGGGAGGAAACACGGGGCCGTAGACCGGCAGAGGAGGAGGCAGCGGCAGCGCGGGAAGCAGCGACGCGCGGTCAGGGGAAGGGAGACCGAGGAGGCGAAGAGCGGACACCGCCGGCGACAGCTGCGACTGCTGCCCAACTCCAACAGTAGAACCTCCAGCGACAACTCGGCTCCCTTTGAGAAGCCCCACGCTAGCACCCCCAGAGCCCGCTCCAGAACCAGCTCCAACCCGCTCCCCAGCACCCCCCGAACGCACGAACCCCAGCGGCGGTGACGACAGCGGCTGCCGCTGCAGCGGCAGTGGCGGAGGCGGCTGCGGCGAGGGCAGCAGCAGCGGCGACAGGGGAGGTGAGACCGGGGCAGGGACACGCGGGGAAGAGACTCCGCCGAGCCGCGAGAGTCAGCAGACTCCCTAGCAGGGACAACCGACGGGAGGGGGTGACGTGAGACACACCAGACGGGGCAGGGCGGGGAGGGGGTGGACAGGGTCGACCACGGGAGGGGGGAGTGACCGGGGGACCACGGTGGGGAAAGCGGTGGTAGAAGGAGATGGACTCGTCAAAAGTGACGTCACGAGAGTGAAAGAACCTGTGAGAAGGTGGTTGGTAGAACTGCCAGTTCGATGAGTCGAGGAGGAAACCTAGGAAGACACAGAGGACTGTGCGGGCAGTGAGCTTGTCCGTGCCAGAGGCACGAACGTGTGCAAGGCAGCCCCAGACGTGGAACGCAGACGCATCACCAGGGGACCCGGTCCAGAGGAGGGTCGGCGAAACCTGCGACCGCTGAGGGTGCGGCCAGAGGTTAAGCTGGTGAGCGCGTAGCAAATGGCGAATGGCCACAGAAAATGGGGTGCATCAGCATGGATGATGGAGTTACGAGCCACCTCCATGACCAAATCGATGTGTCGCTCACCCTTTTTTGCTGTGGGGAGTCCGGCAGGGTGAACGTCTGGACGTTGGAAGTGGAGTGCATTCGTTGCGCGTTCAGTGGAACCGAACTCGGTGTCGGTTTCGGTGCCAAACCGACGAGGAGCGCATTCAGTTTCGGTGGAGTGCGACTTGGGATGACTCGAGGCGCACGCGTTACAGGGAGACGCACGCGGTGTTACGAAGCGCTTAGCTGAAATCCGAAATGCATATATGTGTTGTTTCAGTTTGTGCTTTGTATCTCATTCCGAATTATTGGATTCAAAAAATTGCTGCATCTCGTATTGACGACTTTCAGATACT